AAACTCCCAGAATGTGTGTGATTGTGCCTGTTTAGCAGAGCCGGGTTTTAAACAATGTGTGTTGCAACTTTCTTGAGAACCACTCATCCAAACATGAATCAATTGGAGTAATTTCAGGCAGGAAGGTGTGATGGAAGTTTTCTGTTCTGTAATTTCTGTAAAGGCAAAGATGAATAAAATGAAATGAAAACATGCCCAGCTCTCTTTGTGGGCACCATCCCTTCAAAGGCCTGTTTGAGGGTTCAAGTCTGGGTTTTAGGATCCATGCTGGTTGCGCATCATATACACTGTTGACTATAACTATAACTGAAGCATGTTCAAGGCAGCAATGTATTGCTTTGCAACCAGGAGATGGTGACATATTTTCCTCCAGCAGACCGGAAAGCCTGAGGTGTAAAGGTCTCAGTAGTAATATCTGATTTCATCCTGCAGGGCCGCTGTGAGTTCATATAAGACTCTGCAGCAGAAGGAGCGACCAAGCATACAGCGACACAGACGGAGGAAGAAACACTTGACTGCACTGAGCCCTGCTGTCAGTGTGACAGGAGCAGAGAAAGTCAGGTCAGCGGCCCTGTTGTCCTTATCAGTGTCGTCCCACCCTGACAGGAATACATTCTGCACAACATCCTGGTGCGTCATCCTCAGCTCTGTTCCTTACATGGCTCTGGAGGAAACGGTGCCTGTGTGGTAAAGATACAAGAGCTGATGGTGCCCAGAGTTGTCTGGGTAGTGTGCTTAAAGTAAGAGACAAAATGAAGCTTATAATGATACCTGTAATTTATCACATAAACTTCAGTTATTTTTTTAAAGCATCTTCCAGCCTATTGATATGGTTCATCCTAATTTCTCACCAACACAATAATATAAGCTGCCCGTGGGTCCACAAACAAACTGCAACCCAAAATGAACTTCCTTTAGTAGTTACTTGAGGCTGGTTCCAAAAGTGAATCAGTCTCATGTTAAAATCCTAAACTTGCCCAATATAGGTAGGTCTATGGTCTGTGAATAACTTAATACTGGGTGAATTTAATAATGGTATTAAAGGTATGTGGATGTACACAAGGAGCTGTGAGCTGCATGTTGTCCTTAGCACTTAGCTACTTAGCACTATTAGCAAGTGGCTATGTGTTGCACTTTCTTTTGGTGCAGCGTGCTAAATTATAAACAGGCGGGTTCTTATATAGTGCTTTCCTACAATTTTGCACTTTTATATGACATCTTATTCACATAAGCATTGTTTTATCTATGCCTAATAAGATTCACACTCCAGCGAGCGAATCTGAGAACAACCTGGAGTCCAGCATCTTCCTCAAGGATGCTTTGGCATGCAGACTGGCAGCCAGGGTTTAAACCACCACCTTGCCAGTTAGTAGGTGACCTGCTCTACCTTCTCAGCTACTAATACCCCGAACTAGCTAGCATTAGCCAATATTTACTACTCCACCTTCTCATGCAACTATGGTCTGTTCTGGCTCCAAAGAAGTCAATATGGTGGCAGCCAAAACACTAATGTTAAAGCTTCAAAGTTCCAAAGTAGTGGAGAATATTGCAGGGACTACTGCTATCTTTTATATACAGTCTAGTAGCTAATGCAAAGATCATGCTAACAAAACTTGTGAAAAATAATATGAAACCTACGCAGGTAGTGTTTCTAGAGATCATGCAACAATGGGATGGTGTTTTTAAAGACAAACTCTCTTGTAAAGATCTGGGATAGTTATTAGTTTGTGAAGGTTCATTTTGCATTTTTCTGATCTCAGTCTGTCGACACCAGATATCACAAGTGAGCTGATTCTGACTGAAGCATTTATAAAAAAAAAAGTCTTTTTGGCTTGAAATGGAACCAGCTTTTACTAAATGAAGCTGATGTTTAATAAATAAGACTTTAAAGTAAGTAAAGTGGCCTTTTGTTTTCCTCATTGAGCTCTTTTTGCAATCAGAGTTTTGCCTTCTGCTGGGCATCAGAAGTAATCCATTTAAATTTCTTCCTCACTGACTTCAAGTTTCAGGCCTGGAAGCCTTTTCCATCTTCTATATACAGCTATATTCACAATACAGCTGATTTACATATATATCTCCCCTTTTTTGTCAGCCAGCTGCATAAGGAAGCATTAAAAAGTGATTTTAGTTGTAGCTCATAAACACTGCACACCAGCTATCACTCATCTCACATCTCACCAGAGATTCAAAAGAAATCCAGTCAGTTTTCTGGGTATGTGCGATTTCAGCGAACCATCAAAGAGAAAGTTACACCCACACTGCTCCGGACCCTCGATGGGCTGAGGTGGGTCAATGGAATATTTTCAAAAGCTGAGCGAACACTGAAATACCGACCCGGTGGTGACAGATTTGCACACTCTGGAGGCCATTTATGGAAAACTTTTATTTCGAGTAAGGAAAAAGATGCTCTAAAAGGGAAGCTACTGCTTTTTTGTCTTATTGTCTTTTCTTCATCCGTGTGAACCAAAAGCTCAGACTTCAGCTTGTTCTACTTTTGACTCTGTGTGATGTCATAGAGAATAGATATCTCTAATGCGATCGTTAGACCTCATTAAACTTCAGGAAAGCTACTCTAGTAGATTCAAAACATTTCTCAAGTCCACAAAGAAATGTGGCTAAAAAAAAACTTCACCTGGTGCAATCCACGTCTGATTCTTTGTTTGGAGATGCAGCTCTCACACATTAAACAGGCCACATCAGTCATTCTCAGCCTCTCTCAAAGTCCGTTTCAGTTTGGTTTGTTATTCGATCTGCAGAGCACCCGTGCCGAAATGCTAAACTCGCTTGAGGAAATCAGTAATGCAGCACCGAAAGATGATGGGATACTGTGTTTGTGCTGGCTCCAGCCACGGGGCCACTTGGCACGCTCCTCGCTGTGTTGTGAAGAGGTCCGGGAAGCTTGGAGGCGTAAACAGGGCGGCGGGGTCAGAGGACTCAACTGGTCCGCAAATAAACAAACTGTCCTCGGGGGCAGTAGCCGGTACTGGTGAGACAGCTGCAGAGGATCAGAGAGGGTCAATGACACGTGCTGTTTTTGTTGAGTGGAAATTTTCAACACATTTTGTTCCACAACAGTTTATCCAGAACTTGACTAAATCATCTGAGACACCTACAAAGTGCCTTCCAATACAACACTACTCATCAAGGACTCCATTACTTGTTGGCTCTGTTCTTTTCCACTGGGTTGTAAGATAATGACTTATGCATTATACATTGTTTCTTCTGTTAAGTGGTTTCCCTTTGAGTCGAGGAGACTCTCAGACTCCTGAGGGGGTCCTCTGGAACACCGGGTCCATTCGCTGTGCCCCCACCCCATGTGCCACCATCTGGATTGTTTTCCTGCTCTCCTCCCCTCGTCATCTTTCCCTTGTGATGCTTTCGCGTCACATGGGACATTTTTAAGATGCCATAACAAACAATCGTTTCAGTGTTGTGACTGAAGTGTACCATGGGATACAGTGTTATTTGATAACACATGGGTTAAGCAGTGATGTGTTTATAGGTGCGTCATACCACCAACAGCTGGGTGAAGCAAAAACTCTAAGTACTGAAGTTTCAGTTAAATTTGTGCATTTATTCTTGATCTTGTTGTCTTGTTTTGTAGCTCTTATCCATTTCACGCAGTACCTCTTGGTGCCTGTTAAATCCAGAATTTAAAACCTTAACACATACAAACTCTTGAATGATTAAGCCCCATCATATCCTAAAGACCTCATAGTTTGATAGTTTCAGACTGTCCACTTCTTTGAGGTTCATAAAGTAGAATGGGAGGCAGAGACTTTGGGTATCAGTTGCTCCCAGTTGGGTTGAGGAAACAGACAGCCTCTGTAGTTTTTAGATGACATATCAAACATTTCTTTCTGCCAAGGTTTTTGGTTATCGCTGGTACTTGTGCTGTGATCCACTTGTTAACTGATGATCTAATGATATGTTTCCAGGTCCAAATGATGGATGTGGCCATGGTTGAGTATATCCTCCTCTTAATTTAGTTCACTGAATTTTATTTATACAGCACCAAACCACAACAACAGTCGCCTCAAGGTGTGACTCGATGTTTCATGCTTTGCTCTCTTTTTATTAGGATAGTTCATGTGATTTGGTAGTGATGGCAGCAGCATGGTGGTGCAGTGGTTAGTGCTTTTGCCGCCCAGAAAGAAGGTCCTTGATTCAAATCCATTATCTACCTGGGTTCTCTCCAGGTAATCCAGCTTTCTCCAACACTCCAAAGACATGCATGTTTGGCAAATTAATGATTCAGAATAACAGAGAGGAAATATCTGAAGCCCTCTCCTTTGTTCTTTGTCATGTAACGACATGATCAACAGTCCAGCTGATGTTTTGTTGTGAGCCACCATGTTTCACCAAATTTTCTGAAATATTTTAAATTGTGCAAACATGGATTTGCCTCTATCATACTGCTCGCCATGAACTGCAGTCAGTTTAACTCATTATATAAACTTCATAAGTCCTCCCAGTGTGCTTTGTGGGATCATACCACTCGACATAAGACATCCTCCACCTTCTTTTCACTCCACATGTGTTTATATGTTGTTATTACTACCACTTTTACCATTATGTCTCCTGTATTGTCTCCTCACCCTGAACTCCCTGAGTCGAGTTCTGTTCGACGTCACTTCCTTTTAAAGGGGAGTTTTTCCTCCCCACTATTGGCAAGTGCTGCTCACGGGGAATCTTTTAATTGCTCTAACATCATGGGGTCTTTACCTTTAAAAAAGTAAAAAAAAAAAGGTATGACGGACTGTTGTAAAAATGAAATTCAATTCCTCTAGTTGAAAGAAAACGCTAATAATCAACTATTTATTTGCAATTGTTTTGTTGCCTATAAAACTATAAAAAACAATCACCTCTAACAGCATTTACCATCTTCTGCACAGGCTCCTGAAAGCAGCACATCACCCTATACCCTCCCTTTCTCCCCCTCCCTCCCCTCTCTTTCCACCCTCAGGCATTATTCTCTTCCTTTAACTCCCCCTCCTTTCCTGCCGGCCTCTCAGCAGAGGATGTGTCTGGAGAGAGAGTGTATGTGTGTGAGAGAGAGGAAAAGAGGAAAGCCTTCAGTAGAATGGATATGTGCCTTCTCTCCTCCACCCTTTCTTCTCCTTCTCCTTCTTCTTCTGCTTCCTCCTCTCCTCTTCCTCATCAGTGTCTTCCTTCACTGTCTTCCATCAGATCTGCGCCCTGGGCACCTTCAGCACCGGCCCTGAGGGGAAAAGGAGACTCGTCGGGTGGATGGGCGGCTAAAAACTGAACTCCAATGTCAGCTGGGGATCAGAAGAATGGTGGTGACAAACCAGAAGGTAATGGGACACACACCCACACACACACACACACACACACACACACACACACACACACACACACACACACACACACACACACACACACACACACACACACAC